GTGAATTCGTTTGCCATTGAGATTAAAAGGTTTTTTCCTGACGTTTTGCATATTTTAACGTGTCGAGGTCAATTTCTGTCACTGGTTGCTACTATAAAGCTTATTTTTTGTCTGAAGTTCACACATATTTAGTTGACAGCATAGAATTATTGTAAACCCGCAATGTCTGAGCTAATTCGCACATACTGTGCTGAGATAGCAAACTGTTCATAGTATAAAATGAAAATTAATTGCTGAATTAAATCTTGCTAGTTCTGAACTAATTCTAACATTCTGTAGTGAGTAAACTCTGAGATTGTTTGGTTATTTGCACAAGCTGGAACTGTGTGCTGGTTTATCAGCATGACTAGCACTAATTTAGCACCATGTTCTGATTCTACACATCTTCAGAGGTAGCTTATCAGCCTTATGTGAGGCCTCTTGGGCCAGACTCAGCGTTCATTTCTCCTTTATAAGAACAACCAGAGTTATTTTAGTACATACTGGTTTCATGTTAGGTAGATAAAATATTCATTTACTACAAAGAGGCATTATTGACGCGTAGGTTAGAGTTGGTTTCGGATTTTTGTGAGGTTGGGCCTTTAAGGATTGCTACGGTATGTGATGGATCCCATTAGTCAACATTACTCAGGATGTGGTATGAACCAGTGATCTTCGGCTGATAAAACTAAGTAAGTAAGGCACAGATCGGTGTAATTTCTAACTGACTTCCAAAGTGTTGTCATCACAAAACAATCAACCAAAGTCTATTGTAAGCTGTCACTCTTAGGCATGTAAAGGGAAAGTAATTGTAACACCACTTTAGACGTACATGTTTATATTGTGAATAAAAACGAAAACAATGTGGTAATACTAATATTTTAATAAAAATAAGCGATTCATAGGGGCACGTCGTATTCGTAACGTTTGCGGTTCATTAAATAGCAAACTGTCCAGCCTTCTGGTGAACTCTATTATTTCCCTCAGTATAGCATCAGGATTTCGTTGATTCAAGCTGACGAGGCGACATCTTAGTCGTTAATAAGCATTCCAAAACACGCTGTTTGGTAGCGTTGTTAAGAGGCAGGCACGCGGAATGTTGTCCGTGGTGTTATACTGAATTATCCACCTTTCGCTATTTGTCACAATATCTAAGAGTAACAGCATACCACAGTATATACATGAATCCAAAAAAGCCGCAACGATACGCGCACATGGCAAACTTAATGCACAGTATGTCCAACATGTGCATTAGCCTTATACCTGTTTACGAAGGTGTGACTACCTTTTGTGTAATTGCCTGAGGTGAATGATATTGAATGCAAGTAGAAAAAACGCCTTTGCAAGTTTAAAACAACTTTGTTAGCAGCAAAAGGTGTGCATAGCCGTAATATAGTCTACAGAGAAGTATGTACCTAGGTTGAATAGTAAATTATCTTGAGACTTACATCGTGATTGTAATATTTATAAAGCATCCATCATCATCAAAAGTTTACTTAAATTGCACCCGCGTATAAAATATACATAAAAGCATTATTCATTGGAATATACCCGTTTCAGCGGACAACATATTGTGAAGTAGAGACAGGAGTGTTTTGTAAAATCATCTAATGGCATTACCGATGCTTAACGAGCGCAACCTAATAATTCTAAGCAGATGAATAATAGTATATACTTAAGTGCTCATATACCACTGTCGTAACCTAGTAGACGGCAATTTCATTATAGATAAAATTTTATTTTGACAAAGCCACACAGTGTTATACAGTAATATTTACTGATGACGTTTAGAGCACAATTTATTGTTCATAATCATATGACCGAAATAAAATTTTATCTTTAATGGCATTATACTCTACCTCAGAACTCAAGTCTTATCCGTACCTCTAGTAAATCGCAGTTGAATTATTTTCGCCTAGTAAGCGAAAATGTATATATCCTACTTTGGAACTTAAAATAAATGCATCAAAATTGTTGTTGAATTCTATTCACCTCAATGTACTTTCAAAACCACTAATCCATCCAAATAGTATGTGACTGATCGCTCTAAACCCAATAAAACTATATTGTTCGTCGATATTACTATTCTTTTTACCTCATATCTCTCTTTGTTGTCTCTACTTTGCGTTTGTTTTACTTTCTTCTCTGTCTTTGTCTGCTACATGGACTGTGGCTACTTGAACTGCAGCACATCAGTGCAAAGTTCTATGTTGAAAACATATGAGTCGTCACACTACACCCATACCAAAAAAAATTTACACACCATTATAATATGATAAATCTTTAATTCTACTGCCTATTCTGCCGGTAATTACCCATGTGAAAATAAAAAACTTTCCGCTTTGACCAAAAGGAGGCCAACAGCCAATCAAGATCTGTCAATACCGATTTTCACGATTTCGTTAACGGTGTGCAGTACACATTAGAGTTTAGGAAGGTGGTATTTCCCTTAATCTAACTTAACATCTGAACGTTTCTTCGTCTGAGTTCTGTGTAGACATAGCATAAGTACATTTCCCTAAAGTGCGACTACCACAATATTAAACAGCCAAATCTCATACAGTGTACAAAACGTGGTGTTTCACTCATGAAAACGGTTTCAGTTGATCAGGGAAGGGACGTTCTGGATATCTGATTCCCGAGGCTGATGTATGAAAATAATTTCACTCTTAACAGCTTCGAACATAGTGACGATCTCTCTCTGCCTAGAAAATGATAAGGACGTGAGATTCAAAACAGTGCTCTCTGTCTTGTTGCTCAGCAGGAGATTTCTGAGTTAGCCTTGACTGTCTGTTCCCTGTTTATGGAGAATTCACTTCTCCAGTTAGGCAATCCGTCACTGCTTACAAGAATTTCTTTTTTAATAATCGGTTTTGTGTGAAGCGCATTATTGAAAGTATGTGGGGTCAAGGAAACTCGCCAGCTCAACTGAACCTCAATCACTTCACACTAAACGACTTGTTACTTTATCTCTGCCGAATAAAACATCATTCAAACGCTTGCGTTTCCAAAGTGCAGAAGCCGGGTTACTGAGTTGTAGTGTGACTACTTTTCCCCATATCTTCTTTTATTTTTTTCTATAGCTTGATTCCACACAGTATTTTGGTAAAACTATGGAATTTTCAACATGTGATATCGGTAGCCCAAATTTACCAGGCTGACGGCTAATATCAGATTTGTGTCTGCAGGAGATCGAACTCCGGACCATGTACATGTTCGGCGAGCGTCCTAACGGCTGTGCCATCGCAGGCATGCTTAATCAGTCATACTTTTTGATTTCCTTCCTTACGTATTAAGGGGGGTGATGACAGAAACATGGCCGCCAAGTCAGATCGGCTAGGATATATGGACAGTAGTTACTGTAAAAGAAGCGCAGGTCTAGCATGGTCGATGACCAAACAACAAAAATGTTGTATCTACCAAACAAAAAAAGATCTTCTCTGTTACCAAAGGGCGTGACTAGCTTCCGAGAAATGTTATGCTGGAATCTACGAAATGCTTCTTTTTGTCCCTGGATTGACCCAGCTTCTCTTCACCGTAAGAAAGATTGTCCTGGATGGAAAGTTTCCCTTAAAGGCTGCGATGGGATCCTGACAAACAAATGTTGGTTTGCGAATACACCATCTTAGCTATCTTGAGTATAAAATCGATGTTCTTGATGAAACTGATAGAATCACGTCATTACATCTCGTTAGTTCTTGTCATTAACCTGGTTTTATATATTTTGCTAAAGGTAAATGTAAGAAAAATATGTCTATATTTTGGATGGGAGAGATTGGTTCCCACCGTACGATCGAGGGTTTGTATGCTATCTTTCCAGTCATGCAGTCACAAATAATTTCATGGATATAGACCGAAAATTACGGCCAGTGAAGTGATTATGTGAACGCTGAACACGTAGTGTCCTGCGATATCACTGTTCAGTCTCACTCACTATAGGAGTCTAATGTTGCCACCGACGTCGATCGGATCTGTTCCACTTAACTCTAACTATTCCAGTGGCATTTAAAAAATAAGAGGTCCCCAGCTGCTTCTGAATAATTTCTGCTCCCTTCGCTGGCCTTCAAAGTAGGAGTCGAATTAAAAAACACATTAGACATCTCTTTCCGAATATTGACATATCACCATAACTCCTCGGGTTGTGACTCCGCGTTTTTCACTAGATACCTTTGGATTTCGCCCTTGGGTGACGAATACGTAGAACAGCTTTGTTTCTGGCTAAAGTATACAGTTCCCCAAGCTCTGAAGCCCCAAATGTGATAAACATGATCCAACATTTGTATTCACACACTAGTATTTCACGAATCTCCCAGTTTATCCATGGAAAGTCGTGCTTTCAACCGTTTGGGATGGACCATGGGATGATAGGTCGAGTTACCACGAGCTTATATGAGCTAAATCTGATCATTTGAGCTTTATTGCTGGTGATCAGGTGATGGCTGCTGAGAATTCGCATTGAAAAACTGAGATGCGTGTAAAACTTAACTGTTTTCAACTCCTCTACATTCAACAGGTTCAATAAACTTCAATAAAAACCCAGAAAATGTGAAAATCACTCGAATTTTGTCGAAGGAGCACTATCACATTTTGTGCTTGGTAGTATGCCACTATAAAAACTCATTTTCAGCGACCAATTTGTTTATCTCCATCACCGAGGTCCAGGGAAGTTCATTGAAGACAAGCGTGATTTCCAGGAAGCTCGGTGTGGTGATTGCAGTGGATGGTGGTTGAGTCTTACTGTATGCATCCATTCACTTGCGTGGGTTGAATCATTTCTTCCCATTGTCTGGGCTTCGTTTGGTGAAGCCTGGCCAACAACTTTGATGTACAAATCTCAGGAATTCAGCAGTCCTGTTTCCAATCCAAACATTGCTGCAAAATAGCTACTAACACAGTTTTTTGTGGAGGCCAGCAAGTCAAAGATGATCAAGCAACTCTATTATTATTATTATTACTAGTCAATTTGTTGTTTACAGTATTTAATCTCTATAAGCCTGTCAAAATTTTATTTTTAGCTTAACATGAAAACAACGGAAACGGTGCATATTGATAAACTTCCTTTCCTGAAAATGATTTTGCATGCTGCGAAACATCCAGAAAGTCCTGTCAGCGGCCTTCTTTTAAGTGACTGCAACCACGACTCTGAAATAACAATCACTGACTACATCCCTCTGTTTCATACCGTTCTAAATTTGGCACCCATGCTGGAAACAGCCTTGTATCATGTGAGTCAACCTTACAGTTTATAATTCAGTGACAGGTAGACTTATACTGTGCACTTAAAGGTCTTCGTATATGTGGCTATTTTCAAGCGAACGAACATATCAATTGCAACACGTAATTTGTTTCCGACTATTTTAAAACTTAATAACAGGCCAACAAGTACTGCGATGAAAATAGGCGAGAAAATAGCAGAAAAATGTGGCAATATATGTTTACTAACTGTAAGTCGAACTATTAGATTATCGTGACAAAAATGTTAAATAAAAACAGTTCAGGAACGATGCATTACATCGACTGGATGGCAACTATTTTTCATCATACTGTAAGTGTGATTGGAAGTGGACCGAAATAAAGTAAGTTAAACCCCAAAAAGTTTCTTTTATACGGTTAGGTATACATTCAATCCAACTGTCGACAGGAAGCTGGAAGAAATCCTCAACTTGAAAGTACATCGGAAAATTGTTGATTTCGACGATCATCTTAACGACGTGAACTGTGATTTTCTTAATTTAGAATTGTCAAACATACTGTGTTCATAAGTCAATTGCATAATATTTTTCATGTGAATCCGTAAATTACATTCCGTCTCGTGTCAACACTACACTGTTGTTGTGATGGATCCTATTCAATGACTCTTCAAACTGCTACTCCCGACGGAAATTGTGAGCAGCTTTAGAGATTGATAAAGTAAATCAGAACGGCACTATAAATTCAACCGTGTAGAAAACCAACAAAAAATATAATTTTAGGACACATGGTAAGATTGTCTTTTGATTTCAGTATCAGTGATATACAAAGGAGGAATTCGCAAATTGAAAAACCTATGTAAGGGGTATTAGTGAGGCGAGTAAAACAAGAAATGTTGCATTTTGTTACACGTACATAGTCTATGCTTCCGATACTTGAGAAAATTGCCTCTTTTGTGTTACCCGCAATAAAGTTGCGCATTCCTAGGAAGTTTCGAAATGTACCGTTGTTTGTTGACTTGAAAGTCTGAGAGTGCTGTGAAAATATCTACAACCAGACGCTGTTTTCCTTTCTATTTAACTCTTAAATACACGTGTTCGCTCGACATGCTTCCTAAACTTCGGAATTCGTCTTGTGTGGAGAGATTCCCACCATTATTCGTCACTGCATTTCGGATTAAAGCTATCCACCATAAATCTCAAAACACTGATTGGTGAATAAAGAATTCTTTCTCCACTAGTTTTCTTTCAGACTCTACAGTTACGTATCCATAATAAAACACAACATAATCGAGCAAAGAATATTCTTTTTGATAAATTCCTCTTCTGGCTCTACAATTATATACATGTTTATATACACACAATATTCAAGGTTGGTAATTAATAACAATATTAGTGTTTTTTAAATAATATCGATTTGTAAAGCAAGATCAATGCAATTACAGTTCACCAAAAATACTTAAATTATAATAGTAATAAAGATATAATAGCGAGTAGAATATCACCTAAAATTAGGAAATTTTCACGAAAATTGAGAATCATTCAAACCTAGATGGCCAATTATTACTAATATAATTTAAGTATTTTTAGTGAACTGTAATTGCATTGATCTTGCTTTACAAATCGATATTATTTAAAAAACACTAATATTGTTATTAACTACCAACCTTGAATATTCTGTGTATATAAACATGGATATAATTGTAGAGCCAGAAGAGGAATTTATCGAAAAGAATATTCTTTGCTCGATTATGTTGTGTTTTATAGATATCTGTATCCATAAATGTTAAAGAACATATGTCAGTGACAACATTATTGTTTAAAAAAAATGAAATTGAAGAATTAAGATCGATTCAGTACTACATGGTTGCATATTCCCACATACTACTGATAAACCTATAAATTCGCACATTAAACCATCTGTTAAGAATGCCACATTTCAATAATTCATCAACATATGAGTAGACAAAAGTAGAACGATAAACAAGTAGTAAAAATAAGTAACTAAATGAAGATTCAGGTTGTTCAGAATTTGATGATGAGGAATAATTGTGTCTATCATAAGGTCTGAAACCACTGAATCATGAATTCCGGGAACCCCTAGTCTCATAACGTAAATTTCTTTAATGGCTTTAACCAGAAGTCAATGAATTCCACCTTATTCTGTTTCATCTAGGGTAGCTGGTCTAGGGCGGTCGGCCGACATGCGTGGTGTATGTCCCAGCCGATTCATTCCTAACTTCGCGTGAAACTACGCTCAATCTCAACTTTTATTGCAAAATTTCTAAAACTAGTGAAGACATTTATTGTCAAAGACCTGTAGGCCATTTTTGACTGTCATGTCTCACAGCTTAAAAGTAAAGAGGCACGATTATTCCACGGGTTTTTGGAAATTTCATAGTTTCCAAAATCGACGCAGGTTGTCAAATGCTAAACGAGTCCTTATGAGCTTTACCTCGTCCTGAGACCACAAGATCCAATTCGGTAATGTCAAAACAAGGTAAAGGTGCTAAGACTAGTGTAAAAAATGGAGAAAAGTCGTGGCCAGCTTATGTAGGTCCCCAGTCGGAAAAGTTCGTAATGGAAATAACGGCCATCATTAGGACAGTGGTGGTCAAGTATGGCTTAGTCACTTTTTTCGAATATTTGACCGCTGAAGTTCCCGACTTAGCAGGAAATGCAGTCACGGACCATAAGAAATTTTTTGAATACGTATTGAATTTAAACTAGTTTGTCAAATCAAGTAGTAACGAATACGAAATATGTAGAAGTGGGTAACAACATAGCGTAACCTCTCAGGAAAACTACTTGTTGAATGAGTATAGCGAACGATTAACTAGTACGCCCATTGTATATATGATTACAGTGAAATGCTCTTCACGGAGAGTCATTCTGGACAAGTCAATTTAGCGGTAGCACAGGGACGAAAACCCTAAGTAAAAGTTGGAGAAGAGCTTCTTCACGACAAAAAGAAAGGTGATGTTGCAATAGTGTACAAACTCTGAAGTCAGTGCTCAGCTGAAAATTGGATAAGGCTCTTAAAGCACATCAGTTTTGTTATAATCTACAGCTTTACAGCTAAGCACCAAATATATATGAGCTCTATCATTCCTAGTTTTAAAGCTCATCATAAAACACTTGAAAGGTAGTTAATGAATTCTCTGAACAGCAACGACAGATGATTATTGGGTATAAAACAATCCCACCACTGTTGGTATACTAAGATAAGATCGATACGTCGCTGCAAGTATCACATTTAAAACAATCGGCGGAAGTGTACTTTGAAAGAAAACAATTGGTTTTCAGTGTCAAACTTTTACTAGAGGCTTTCGCAATGAAGTAAATTACAATACAGAAATAAATACATTAGAAAGCAAGATAACGGTTCTCTTTTTTAAAGGAACACAAATATACAAGGGTTGATCATTAAGGTGAACACATAGACCGACATAATGCTGTATGTGCTTCCCTCTGCCGTCTAACAGACTTGTGGTTTCGGAAGCGGTGATATTCCGCCTTTCGTCTAAGGACACCAGGATCAGTGGATTGGGAGCTACTTAATGGTCGTTTCTTCAGTAGAACACGTCCTCCTAACATAAGAGCGTTTAAATCACGTTCACCTGCTGCCAACAATTCGGAAATATCATGTTCCACTGTACTGTCTTCATTGTCATCGACTAGGTCATCTAAGAAACTATCATGTTCATCAGGTTTGGGTTTTCGAGGTCGATGGCGTATTGGATTAGAAATAGCTAAAAGTGGGAGTTCTTCAATTTGTTGTTGAGACGATGATCGCGTAATTGGAGCACTTAATTCACTTGACGCATTTCTGTTCGGATCAATGGTAGAACCACACACAGGAGATGCTAATACATGTGGATACATGTTACGATCAGCCGTAAATTCGACAACATGAAGTCCCAAACTAGTAGCCAACTCACTGTACGTTTTCTGAAAAAGAAAGTCATATTAAAATTTTATAAGACACGATTCACATGAATATAACAGTCTTTGTGTTACCAGGCAATAACACAACTACCTCTATGTTGATTAGATACCACGTAATTGTTCAGTCCATAAGACTAAATTCTACCAATCCTGTTTGCGATGTCGTAACAAAGTCAAGGGACTAACTATCACGGTGCGTTTTGAAACTGACTTTAAATAATTGGAGGTAGGAAGTTATGAACCCGTGGTAATACACCCGACTACTGCGGTACTTGACCTGGGTCCAAAGATATGAGACAAAATCAGCGCATTCAGGGTCGCAGATAGTCGGTGTTATGGAAATAGTAAGTTTCTGACAATAGTTGTGGCATAAAAATACCACGAGTCGGCTATAAAATAAGTGAATTGAGTCACGTGATATAACTGACAGGACTATATAGAGCTCACCTGGAACCGAAAGAGGGTTACGTTAGGATCTAGAATAAATTCCAATCGCTGAACACCTCCGCTTATATATATATCCCTCGACTAGAGGAATTACTAACTGCATGAATCTTTAAGTATTGAGTGAGACCTTGGACTAAGAGACGAATGTTTGTAAGCAAATTGATAATGAATTAATGAAGCAAATTAGCAACTCCTTACAACACGATTGACATCAAAAATAGGTACTCTATTTAACACTCAACATATATAAACATAAGGCGAAAGATAATACATGAAAACCAAACTGAGATCTACCTGTTGGCCTAATAAACGGAGAAAGCCTCTGGCGATGGCTTGGTAATTTGTTGTACTTCCTTCAACTCTAGCATACATATCTTTGATTCCAACAACTTGACATAGAGTTTTGATCATACGATGACATATTAAACCAGACCCTAAAAAATATACCATTTCTCTGTTAAATATGAGTACAAAGGAATAATAATAGACTATTCAAATATATACAATTACGAATATAGTGAGCTGCTACGATACAAACATAAATTTTCACATATAAAGATGATTAGAATGACAGTGAAATGTTCTTAAACCATAATTCCAGGACAGAGAACAACTTAACCTAAATGTTTAGTAGAGTTAGAATCACACATAAAACTTTATATATTCAACCTGAACGCGTACACTAAACAGCATCATAAAGCCTCTCAAAGCCAAATATTTATTACATTAAATGCGTCCGTTATCAATATTTCAATTGTTGTTGAAGTTGTATCAAGTTAGTAGGTATTCGAAGAACGAAATAGGTACTTCTGTATATCAACTAAGACGAAAATCCATTGTCTGTGTTTTAGTTAACTCAGCCTCAGCATATTCAAACTATATTTAAGCACTTAGTTCTACATATGTAGAGAAACGATCTCATTCAATCTCGGACATCAAAACGTGACAAGTACAAACCGACATCCTTGTTATAAGTTGTCAATGGAAAGTATCGGTGACAGGTCGCGCTCTCTCTTCAGCAGCTACGCGGACCTCGATTATGCATTACTACGTATACATCTATGACTGAATGTACTTAATAACAAGCAGTGGTGAAACTTATGTTTGTATGTTTGACTTCCTGACGAGAACATAACATCAGTATTTAGAATGGAGATAATTAAGTATTTACTTGAGCATTGCAGCAATAATACTCATCATATGGTAAACCAACACTATATTTAGTCAGCTGTAGAGGCATTAGTGAGAACAGTGGACAACCTACAACTACGGTTTAGTCATTACCAATGGATACCTATATCTTCATCCGAAATAATTAGGGTAGAAAAATTGGTTTGTGTGTGTTCCAAATATGATGAAAATTGGAAGCAGCTCAAACGTAAACTAATTTCAAGTTTCCAAAACGTACAATAAAAGTGATGGGAAATAAAAAGACGAAGATATAAAAAGGATATCGACAATAAGCTAGATGTGCCAAGTGTTTAAGCTCATAAGAGAAAGTGGTTCTACGGAATCGATTACACGTGAAAATTTCTCTCTAATAACTTCTCAAGAGAGACCAGTGAAACGTTGGGAAGAACACTTTGAGTAGCCGTTCAACAGGTTTACAACTGCACTTCATTCTAAATGGGATGTAGGTAGGAGTCTTTCAACTGTCAACAAGGATGCACTCTAAACTAAAACCACTAGTTGCAGGACATAATTATATCACTCCAGCAGTGCACAAGGATAAAAAATGAAACGTTACTCAAAGACCATTTACAATTCCATGCAGTTAGCAATGAGATACATCTGTGTGAGTCTGGCTGCCCAAATCCTTGTAGGTTGAACAGTGTTCGAAATCGTGACCCACTGGCCGTACAAGGGGGCTTGAACTTATGGGCCACAATACATGTATCGCCGAAGCGAGTACTCAAGGATGCTGAAAACAAGCTGTTAACACTAGGGTACTAGCTGGTACACGGGATTTGAGTTAGTTTTGTATGACTGATGCGGATCACTGTTTATTCCAGTTTATAGGAAGAGATAAATCTTCTTATTATAATGATACAGAGGTCGTCGTGGTTCTGCAGTTCTGAGTGGGGCTTCAGGAAAAAGAAGCTCCAAAAACCAGTTAGGTTCCAAGGGTGGATAGTTAAACAGTGGTCACATCCCCACGTGCCGAGTTCCGGAACACCCGCACATCTCGCAGCGTCTAAAACTTGCTATATTTCTTTACCTGAAGATGTCATTTAGCTCTGCTAACCAATAGATGTGAAAAAATTCGTCTATGAAGGGAGTGCAGAGAAAATATACTAAGATAATCAGAGTTCAAACAATCATTTGTGTACAAGGAGAACTTTCTTCCGAAATGGCGACAACTAATAGTGAGTTTCAGCGATGCCCGATGTGAACGTTTCCACTGATTTTCCTTATACATGTATTGTTGGCGTGGTTTCGTTAGACTTCTACTTTCTAGGGACTGACTTGTTACTGGGAAAAAAACTTCTCAATGATTTGGTCATCTCAGATAACATAGTTCATTCGGTGAGACAATGACAAATTTTGAAGTCTTCTGAACACCCCAAGTATATTTGATATGCAGTTCACTTATGTCAAATGTATGATGATGCAGCGAAACTGGCTTCTGACAGAAGGTGCTTTCGTCTATTTCCTCACATTCTCCGAAAAATATGACAGGTAATAATGAGGTGGGGAAGCAAAGTTTAGGTGCGCTGCCCGTTACGCATGCTATGCCTATTCTTTTCCCTATAAACGATGTGAGCTAAGTAGAGAAAGTCAATCGATGAGGTGGTAAAACTACAGTGATTAAGATGAGCAGGACATGTGTTGTACATGCCAGGCTAATATATACCTTAGTGAGTGATGTTAGGTGTTACCAAGTTATGTTGGAAAAGACGTTGATTTTTAAGGCTGAAAAATGTCCCCAATGCTGAAAAAGTATTTCCTTTTTATCATCACTTAGATTTTGAAAATATTCTTGAATACTTGGTTTCGCCTAGACATCTGTCTGTCTGTTTTCGACATAGAACTTTGCACAAATGTGCGGAAGTTCAAGTCGCCACACTCCACGTAGCACACAAAGCAACAGAAGAAAGTAGAAGAAATGCATAATAGAGACAGTAAACAGAGGTGTGAGACAAAGGAATAGTAGTAACGAAGAACAAAACAGTTTCATTGGAAATCATAAGTCACAAGGAGTGGATGCATCTGCACCATTGAGAACGATTTTGAGCCATGTCACCAATTGTTTCCAACCACTGGTTTTGACCGTCCCCAGGACCTCAACCAGGAAGTCTACACCTTTCTACGTGGCTTAGACTAACTGTTGAAGATTTCATTGACTGGTGCCATGTTTTTGTTTGACCTCCGCTAGTTCTTTTCCAGCCTGACCCTATATCAGCTAACACTGCCCGTCGAGGAAGGATAAATCTTTCGCCTAGACATCCATCCAGTGTAGTTTCATTATATTTCTTTTCGCAACTTCTATGTGCTTTTTTGAAACGTGGCAAATTGAAATGAACTTTTAGGGAGACTTCTACTCAGTTAAATCAGCTATGTATAATCAAGAAGATGACATATAAGCACGCTTACAATAGGCGAAATACACCTAAGAGTACACATAATTTTAAATTTTCCTCGACGGTTTGCAGTTATCAAGTATTTATTAAGAAAGTGAGAGTAAGAACTAATGAAGCTTCAAAGATGTCTGACGGTCAAATTTGTGCTCATAACAAAGGGGCTGATGGATAATACTTTCAACACACAATGAACCATCTTTCAATGTGAATGCTCGGTAAACAGTCCCTTTCGAATACTTGCAATGATTTCAATGTTCACCAACCCACAAAAACAAACGAAAGTTTTAGGGTGAGTTGATCAACCTGTGCAATTATTTCACATTATAATATCGATAGTTATGGACACAGATTTGTTTAAAACCAACAATGAGCAATAGGAAGATACATTGTGATATATTGTGAACAAAAACTTCTATAAGGTTTTGCATTTTATAAAGGCCTCAGTTCGACACGACCCTGTAGTTTGTACCCACTAAGTTTGGTGAAGAATATTTAGCTAAGAGGTTCCTCTCTAGAGATAACCAGAAAGAAAAATGAATGTCACAGACACTATTGGAAGAAAACACATATGGAGACAGAGCACTGTCAACACTGAAGCCTACATGAATATAAGAGTAAAGAACTATGTCATACAGAACTTGATTAAAACACTGCGTTGACCAAAAAAGTATTTTTGTTACAAAGTAGCGCCTAGTTCGTTTAAGACACAGCCAAAAAGTGTCAAAGGATTTCAAAGTAGTCCATTTTCGGTAACAAATAAACTTATAGTGATTAGGAGGAGTGGACACTGTTACGTTCACCTTGTGATAAAAGTTGACAGGTACACCAATTATATTCAGTGTTTAATGTTATTTAATTCTGAAAAGTCACAATGCTAACTATTTAGCTTGATATAGCGTAACTGACTTACCTTCAGGCAGAGGAGATGCGAATATTTTGCTGTTCCATTCACAAACATGTCCAACATGCCATACTAAAATTCAAAAAATAAGTTGGTTAAGAAACGATGTTAAAATACAGCTGCGAAAATCACGATATTGACTCGTGAACAAAGAATATTCTTTCGACAACTTCACTAAACTGAATCCTGGAAATTTACAATGAGCATTTTCAAATAACCATGACATTGACAATAAAGATATCAGAAATTATACTCCACTGAACATTATTGATTCATAACACAAGCCATGCCCAATACGATAATGACATGTGAAAAGTTTGAATTCTAAGTGAAGTTCGTACTCACTAGTCGCTGGGTTGCATGGTCCCTTAGAAAATTATAATGCAACAAAAGATACCGATTTAAGCCAACTACTCTTTATTATACAAATACATGAGTAGGACAAGTACTTATCAGCAGGTAAACTTAGAAAACAAAAATAACTTACATGTTCTTCCTTCTTTCAGTTCAAAGGAGATGATATTTTGGGAAGCACATGACTTAGCTCGCCGGACAGCAGATGAAAGCGTAAGCGCCCTTGCCTTACCAATGCCACACAAACCTTGTCCATTACCTGTTGCCACAACAACAGAAAATCTACGATATCTTCCTTTTGTTGCAGTCATTGTGGCAACAACCTGAAATAATAATTCAGTGAATGAAACTAAAGGAATAAAGAAGAGCATATCTAGCTTTACTGATAATATACAAATATTGCATTATGAATTTCATATACATTATCTGTATGGTTTTTCATGTCCCTATTCTACTTGTAGGTTTCGTGCGGTTAAAAGCAGACACTATTCGCATAGGTGCAGCGTAGTTACCAAAATTTCTACGTGAACGCAGTTCTGCGACCTTCAAAAATCTGTCCTGATACACCTTTTCATCATTGTTGTATGCATCTTCTTCTTTTGAATGCATACTACAGCCATTATCCCTCCCGTGGCCTAATAAGACATAACCAACTAAAGACTTTTACACCACCCCTTATTTATATTTCCAACCCCTTTCTTATCATCCCTTAATCTTATCTTCATTACAAACGTGTTTCATTTCCTTTCCTTACAATCTAACATTACGTAATCGGTTCATTTGTTTTTACTAGCCTTTATCGACTACTTTCACCTGAACAATTGTTTGTTTAATCATACTGTTTTTCATTATTCGTGTTATCACAGATTGCCTCATTTTTTCATCCTTATTATTGATAAGACCATTATTATTACTATTATTAATATTATCATTACCACTATTATGACTAATTGCACAATTTATATTCACCATCGTATTATCCTATAGACAAAACACCATGATTGGTTTATATTTGAGTTTTTATTTGTAAACTTTTATATATTAGAGTTAAGCCTGATGAGATCTAATTGAAAACAATATTGTTCGCTTAAATGTGTTGTTATAAATTTTACTATGGGAATATTTAATATAATTAAAAAGAAGTAAGTGGTAATCCGTACCTCGGCTCTTTTTGCGACAGTATGCGATTTCATCATTGCTAAGCCCTATAGTCTAACGATCCACTCCAGTATTTAGGCTAAAACAATACAGTGTTTGATCCCACTTGTGCATCTTCATACTAACTTTCACATTTGACAACAGCTTGAATTGAATAATCTCAAAACACGGTTCATGAAAAGACTGCAGTCTTAAATGTATGAAATACCTTACTTTAGAATTTGATACGATATATCAGAATTCCTATACGTTTAGATACTTAAATATTATCAAACTGGTGGTGTCATATTACTTGATTTTGCTGAAGGTTTAATTAATGGTTTACAAGTAGAAAACACAACTGTAACATAACCACGAATTTCATAGAGATTATTCTATTGCTTTACGTTCCCAGTGGTACATAGGGCTTCAAGCTAGGACGGTGAAGTTTCGGTAGCAGTGGTGTTTTATTTTTACGAGATGGAGTTGCTAGCCTCATGCCCAACATTCCCTCTTTAACAGTCTTATTACTGGCTTGGCGAAGCAAAGGAGTGAGTCGGCCGGGGATCAAACCCCATGCGTGGTTGGCGAGCATTCTACCGCCGTGCCACTGATGCAATTTTATACCGAAACAAACTGGAAAATATGAAGGATGAGTGGACTATCTTTAATGACAAAAAGTCTCCTGTCGACAATCTGGGCACTGCATCTCCCTATACTAGTCATCACTTATGGTCGATTTGAGAATAATGTTGTTCAATAATATGAATCCTTCTTCAGTGTATTCCATTAACAATATTCAGTCAGCTTTAAAGAGTTCATGTTCTACTCACGACTCCATGAAAAATATATGCATAAATGACTTGTAGTGAATACTAATGAAAGCTTGAATAACTTTGTAACAGCCTTTGTAAATAACATCAGATAACTCTCGTACAAGTAGGAATGAGATAAAAGGGAAAATTAGATTCACTGTTTGCTGTAAAGCAAGCCATGTATTGTATACAATAAGAAATGTAATGACTAGTGATTCTGAAGTGGGAAAGTATGTGACAGACATGCTTTTTATAATTTATAAAAGCAGCTTTATAAGATACGGAAAGATTTTAAAACAGACTTAATTTTCAACTTATTTTGTTATAAAAACCTACATTTAGAAGACATCTGCTATTTTTTAAACACTAAATACAAATTAACATACCTTCGACTCAATGACACGACAATCGAAGTCTGGATGATTTGGAGTTGGTGGACCAATAGACTGGCCTCCTAATCGAGTGCCTGTCCAACCGCGTTCCAAGGGGGCAAGTTTCAAACGCTTTTTCTTTACTGCGGATTTATTACGCAGTTGTTCTAATCGTTGAAAATAACCTTCACTATAATCATCCTGCAAGGAAGAATAGAATATTTCTACGTATTATTACAACTCAACTAATTTACAACAGGATTTTTATAAGTCACCTAAAAATGGTGAACCACTTGGTTTAGTGTAAAATATTAAATGCCTGAATGATTTATGATTTTATCACATTCAAGTCAAAAAGTAGGTCAATGTAACTTCTGCTTTTTTACATATGAACAAAAAATAAATTGAAAAGTTAAGATAGCTGCATTCTTTCATGTGATAACTGTTATTGTTTTTTCTTTGCATTATATATATATATGCACAGTTCTCTACAAAGATTTCCACATGTTGTACTTAAATGACTTGTCATCACTGAGATAGTGAGAACTAACAAAGATATGAATAAAACTACACAGTATGAGTATGTGACTCTGGGTTTATGTTCAGGCTAATAAAGTGACTTTAGGCCACACAAAATCTGATCATGCGTGGTTACTCAGTGAATGATATACACGATTCAAATCAAAACAAGTTAACAGTCCAAATTCACAATACATATTTGCTTTATACAACTTGTCTAGCACATAACCGATGAGTTGTTCGAAGTACAGAATGTATAGAGGTACGTCTGGATTATAAAACGAGTAGTTACATGCATTTGATAATCAAAGCAAACCAGCCATTCTTGAAGGCTTAATCGAGTTATCACCCTATTTCTTAAGTGACGCAACACAACTGTTCGCAATAACACACTGATGAAACAATCGAAACTTCATTCTTAGAGAACTTGAATAAGAGAATCTGAACGGTATATACACCAGTAAATACAGGTGAGAGTTCTGTTCTACTTGACTAAAAATTCACGTACGAACTTGTACGCTACGCAACAACCCACCACATGATGGTCATGATACTGCCCCATTACAGTAGTCTTAACAGAATTACCTTTCCAAAACACTAATTCGATGAGTCATAGCTGTACTACAGGTAAAATAAAATGAAGCTAACAAAAGTGACGCGCATTTAAATATACACGATTGTACAAAAAGAAAGTTTCCTTAAATACCTTTGTGCCTTATCATAAAGTCTGGCTGGCTGGTTTCAATATAGAACTTTGCACCGATGTGCAGCAGCTCGAGACGCCACACTTATGTAGCACCCAAAACAAGAGAACAAAGTAAAAGAAATGCAAAATAGAGACATAAAACAGAGATATGAGGCAAAAGGAATAGTAATATCGAAAAACAACATAGTTTTATTGGGCATTATAGGTCACAAGGAGGGGATGCATCTGTGCCAGCCATTGAGAACGATTTTCAGCCACATGATCAATTGTCTCCAGCCATTGGTTTCTATCGTCCCAAGGACCTCAACCAGGAAGTCTACACCTTCCTACGTGACTGGCTTAAACTAACAATTGTGAATTTCATTGACTGCTGAGATTATGTTTTGGTTTGACCACCACTGGCCCTTTTCCAAAATGATCTATCCTGCGTTAGCTAAAACTGTCCGTCGAAGAAAGTGATGGATAGGTATGCGTAACACATGTCCTAACCATCTCAGTCGATGTAGCTTCGCAGCCTCGTCTATTGATTTCCCCTCCTTCCCTAGCACTCGACCGATGCCTAACTTCAATATTGCCTACCCTAGTATATTAACTGACACGGGAGATAGAACGCAGTCACCTATGATCAAAGACAGATAGGCTTTTCGTAACTTCCGCTTTCAATAGCAATGCCTCATAGCCATAAAGGAGGACAGAGTGAACTGCTGAGCAGTATACACGCCCCTTTATCGACAACCAGCCGGATATCACGTCTACGCCAGAGATGGCGCAAGTTGGCATATGCGAAACAGGCCTTCTGTATCCATTCTGAAATTCCGTCAGTAGTCAACCCATTAGAGCTGATGCAACTCCCCATATGAGTGAAGTGGTCAACAAGCTCGACGACTTCACTCCTTATTTCTGAGCTAGGAGTCAATGTAGTCCAGTCCTGTAGCATCACCTAACATTTTGCGGGACCGAATCGCACGCCAATCACTCAAAGATTGCAGCTGAAGGTATTCAGAAGACTCTGCATCTTGTCACCGTCTTCACTCAGATAGGAGGATTACATTATCTCCATATTCTAAGTCAACGAGATTATTCCTTGGTAACAAGTCAATCCATGAGTCGCTGGAGTCAGTAGTTAGGGTTAATTTCATCAGTACGTCTATGATGAAATTGAATAGAAATGGGGACAGTGAGCATCCCTGTCGGACACCACTAGTTGTCACCAGTTAAGATGACAACTCGTCATAAGCTCTCAGCTGGCTGACTGCATGAGTTCGAGTAGAGCAGAGTCCCTTGGTCAGTCCAATGCATTTCCTCGGCATCCCCTGTATAGCCAAACATCGTTAGATTATCTCTCGGTCGACAGAATCGAATGACGCCTTTAGGTCAAGAAATATGAAGATTGTTGGACGCCGGTAAGTATGTTTATGTTCCAGAACCTGTCGAAGGGTGAAGATACGATCAATGCACCCTCTTCCTGGTCTATAGCTTGCCTGGTTCTCTCATGTTTGTGGATACCGAGTACCACTTATTCTTCGCAATATTATTGAGCCTAGGACTTTAGATACTATATCAGTCAAGCTAATCCCTCTGTGATTATCACAGGAAGACTTGTCTCCCTTCTTGTATATCGGGATAATCAATGATTTACACTAACTAGACGGGACTTCCTCTGATTTCCAGACGCTGCCTAGTACCTTAGTTAACGCAGATAGTAAACTGTCTCCACTGTATTTAAATACCTCTGGAGTCATCCCATCAGGTCCCGCTGCTTTTCCTCGTTTTAGCTTAGTGACAGGCTTAGTAACCTCGGTTAGCGACGGAGGATCTGTGTCTATATCCCATTCAGGGAGGTGTTGAATGCTAGGTAAGTTGAGTGTGGCTGTGGGCCAATTAAACTGCTCCTCAAAGTGTTCTTTCTATCGTTCTAGTCGTCTATCCTGGGAGCTAACTATGGTGCCATTTTTCTCAGAGATAGTTTCACTTATCATTTGCCTTTTGCCACATGTTTCCCTGATAAGCCTAAATAGTTGTGTGGAGTTGCCAATAGCCGATGCCTTTTCCATCCCTTTCGCTTTTGTTGCCCAACACTGTTCAAGGTCGTTGTGAAGGCTTCTTGTTATTTTGCGTTTGAGTAGCTTTCGCTCTTCATCATGATCGAAAGTCACGGAAATCAGTCTTCTTGCGTCAATCAGTGCGGATGGGTCGGTAGAAAATCAATGGCTTTTACTAACTGTAGGTTTCAAGTTAATAACAGCTTTTATAGCTGTGTCTACAGCTAACTGCATGTTGTGCCAGCTACCTCAGGAGGAGTACTGCTGTCGTCCTCAGATAATCGTTTCGCTATTTCTTCCTTGAATAGGGATTCAGAGTCTTGACCTAGTTGGAGACGTAACTGCTTCGCTGCCAGCAATGTTTTATGTCCGTTTAATCGTATGCATAAAGTAAGTTTGCAACAATTGAAAACTGAAGAAAAGTATCTGCAAAAATTAACTTCTAGATAGTTCATGGCTTAATTTTGCCTTGTATTCAGAAGCACAGTGGAACAGACTATTAACAACTGCCATATATGAACGTATAAATCCGGGATCTGTAGCTAAACGGAAATTATGCACATAGTTGGGAATGAACCACACCTATTGTGGATAGCGTCAACGCTATTATCATTATCTCAATTTAACCTTTATTATCCATATTGTACATAGGATCGATAATTTTCTTATGCAATCGAAGAGTTTGATGAGGAATTACCAAAAACACGTATTAGCTTAAATTGGGTTCTCCACTTATCACGACGGGAATATTTAGAATCGTAAAATCAATGATCTCAACAAATCCTTAATATTTTAATAGGTATTTGTTATTAAGTCTAAAATCTCCATAGAGAAAGTTCCTGTTTTATTTAGAAAAACATAACCAAAGTAACACCAAATGCGGAAAAGTAAATCCTCTTAAAAACTACTTGGTTCAAGATTTCTTTTGACGTTTAGGACATGCTGAATGGATTGACGTCCAAAATGATTCGTTAGGCTGAAGGAAATAGGCTATTTATTTTTATTCAATCAAAACATTTACATCATTTAGCTAGTAGTTTACCACTCCTAAGGGAGTACAGCAATTGGGAAACCAAATGCCAGTAGTGTAAATAGAGAGATCATCTTGATTTTACCTCATTGATGGGTACCTTGAGACTACTTTCTTAAAATCTGGTTGCTATTTGGTTGGTATCATGCATGACGTGCAGTGTTTTCTTTTCTATCTGACTGCAGTACTTTCATAAACACCGGAATAATAATATTTAATCTTGCAGAGCTGTGACTCGTTGGCTTTGACGCCCAGATTTCAACCACCAAGGAAGGGGGTTGAATCCCTCTGTACCTACTGAGATTTGTGTTGTCAGTTAGTATCATTAACGCTTACACACTGTGTAACTCACCATCAACTACGAGTAAATACAGGTGGTTGCTAAGATACATTTAATTTGATTTCACTTAGAAAGTTAACACTCTTAATATGTTAGTTTTACGGAAGAATCAATGAAGTTGCATATCAAGTTGTACGTAACACTTTATGAAATCCAGCAGACTACAAAAAGCGTGTATGTCAGACGTATACTAAAAGTATACAAACCAAATAACTCTGTGTTAGTGGCCATTATTTTCTAAAATGCTACACTTATATTTGCCAAATTTTGTTACAAACTGTTGGAAAGATGTAATTCGTGCTTGTCTTAAGTGAAGACAAACGAAAACTTCAGGAGCCTAAAGTCAGCTAAGAAACTCTCTATTGAACCACTGACCCAGCGGAAGCTCTCCGTGTCTCGATTCAATTTAAAAAGACCAGATCGACTGGTTGTAGAAGATCAACCGACATAAGTTTATCTGTAGATATCAGCATCAACACAATGTAAATAGTGTTCTAGGATTTGGGATTGACAAAAGTAATCAGCGGCAAATGAGGTTTCCTTGATATACTTGGTTTATCTCCAAGTCAAAACTCAATTTTTTTTACTTTTTTAAATTTTTGATTACAGCTTGATTCCACACTGTATTTTTGGTACAAGCATGGAATTTTCAGCATGGATATCAGTAGCCCAAATTTTGCAGGCCGACCATAGATATCAGGTGTGCGTCGGCAGGAGATCGAACCTCGGACCATGTGCATGGTCGGCGAGAGTCCTAACCACTGTGCCACCGACGCAGACGTTTCACATACTGCAGCATGAGCTACGACTTTTGTGTGACTGGTTGTTACTAACATGTATATTATACGATATGGTTTACAAAAAAATCAATGACAATTTCTTTACAATCCGCCGGATTTCTGTATTATTTTAAACTGAGGCCAACGCTTCTAGAGGAACCATTTGTTTGATCGTCTTACTATTTCCTTACCACCATCTCTCAAATTTTCCGATTTTTGTTTGTGCTGTTTGTACACATCGCCAGGTATCAGCGTCCTATAAGTTTACTTTTTAAATAAAATTAAAAACACGATATCAAAATAGGACATTTCCAAACATACACCTTCATATTCGGAGTTCACTCGAGAGCCGTATGTTAGAAAGAATTCTTTAACACACCGAATCATAAAGGAATACACCGTAATTGTTAACTTCACTACACTCACTATATGTACAACGAATATAAACTCAATGAGATGTTATTAGTGTTAAAATTATTACGAGAACTTGGTTGAGTATGAAACTAACTCATATATCGAGAGTCAGTAGGTTCTATATGTTATCTGATTACTTATATTCAAAAGTTGTAAGATCAATCATGGTCAAACGGTCCTATGAATTCAAGTAAACAGTGATTAAGGAGATGTTTTTATAATCTAAGGCTAACATTCCCATAAACTATAAATCATAAAACCATAACAGTCGACAGCTTACCTTTTTAATGATTGAGGATGTCATGCTAGCATTAAGACCAGGCCACTGAACACCAGCTTTACCAACTCCTATTCTTTGTCCCCGGTGAAGATCGATCTTAGGCCTTGTAACCCTGCGTTTTCCTCTAGCACGCCTTTTGGAACCTCCTTTTGGCCCAGTCACACCTTCCCACAACATTTCACCTGGGAAGTTGCTGAATATAGTGCTGTGACGGCAAGGAATATAGAGTTGGGGTGCAAAAACGACGTGAGAGTTGCGAAAATGCCGCAATTGAGGTTTGACTGGATACAACATAAATGTTGGAAATAACCCTGGTAGTTTATAGCTCGTGGAAAAAAAGCTGCCGCCAAATGAGTTTACAGTCAATCGGCTTAAAGATGATAAACTCAATGACAGACGACCTAGAGCCATTCTTGTTTAATCCCCCAATATATCCTTAGGGTAAGATAATGGGGATTTTTTTCTTAAATCTGCTGGTGAATTACGACTTCTTTAAACAAATTAATACACCACAAACGGGAAGAACGACACAGACCTGAAAGAAACAAGAATTTGTTACTCAATATTTTTTAATAAAACAGAGCACACACTAATATAAAAAGGTCCAAGACTAAAACGTATGATAAATTGTAAATTATTTTGACTCTCTGATATGCTTCTGAACCACACGAAATATTTCTAATCTTGTTGACCACAAATGCAGCTTGCATGTAAACTGAAACTTTAAACAAAGTGTTAGTACGGATGCCCAGAGAAACCCAGAATGAAGAAATCGGACAATTTGGCTAGAAATATCTTTTCGTCTTTATTTCTTAAACAGTACATGTATGGAGAAGTTCTCTTCCAGAAAGATAAAAACGAAGAGTAGGATAATATGTCACTCAGCAAAATAAAAACAATGGACAATCACTGATGTTTAGATCATTTCTAGATGTGTCGTAGCATGACCACAATTAGTATATTGGGTCCACAAATACTGTCGAGACTGAGATAGATCTTGGAAGAAAAATACTAGCATATTTCAACATAGGAATAGTAGCTGCATTTGAGAGTATTTGGAAGCTTTTTCACCTCATTGAAGCCATCAACATCAGAAACGACTATGTTCACGATATATTGCATGCCGACCAGCAAAATTAAGACATTGAAATCTGAGCAGAGCAGATGGAAAAGGTCTAACTGGTGCATTGCGCCAGAGCTTTTCCCAACAAACTACAGTATTGCATGGTTGAAAGAGGTTGGAAAGGAAATTTAAAAACAACATTGGCATAATACACCCCAATCTGGCCAATTGATATACTTTTTACAGCATATTGGTTATTGTTGCACATGTCTTTATAGGGGGTCTACACAAGAAATGTGGTAAGTATTGAATGAGTTATGATTAATAAGGTCAAAACATAGAGTAAACAAAATGTATCATTGAGAAGAGAGCTGGGTCGTCACCACATCGGTTCTATATTTACCCTCCACTAAGTGCTTCAACTGTCTGTCTGTTTTCGACATAGAACTTTGCACAAATGTGCGGAAGTTCAAGTCGCCACACTCCGTGTAGCACGCGAAGCAAGAGAAGAAAGTACAAGAAAAGCATAATAGAAACAGTGAGCAGAGGTGTGAGACAGAGTAGTAATAAAGAAAAACAAAACAGTTTCATTGGAGATCATAAGTCACAGGGAGTGGATGCATCTGCGCCACTGAGAACGATTTTGAGCCATGTCACCAATTGTTTCCAACCATAGATTTTTACCGTCCCGAGGACCCCAGCCTGGAAGTCTACACCTTTCTACGTGGCTTAGACCAACTGTTATGGATTTCATTGACTAGTGCCAAGTTTTTGTTTGACAGCCGCTAGCTTTTTTCCAGCCTGACCCTATATCCGCTAACATTGATCGTCGAGGGAGGCGATGGCTTGGCATACGTAACACATGTCCTAACCATCTCTGTCTTTGTAACTTCACGACTTCGTCGATTGATTTCCCCTGTTTACCTAGAACTCTACGCCTAACCTCAATGTTGCTCACCTTATTATGTCACTTTACACGGGAAATAGAGCGCAGGCGCCTATGATCAAAGACAGCTGGTCTTTTCATGTCTTCCACTCTCAGTGGCTAGGTCTCACAACCATAAAGGAGGACGGAGCGGACTGATGAGCAGTACACCCGCCCTTTGGTCGATAGTCGAACATCTCGTCTACTCCAGAGTCGGCGTAAACTGGCAAATGCGAAACGAGCCCCCTGTATTCGTGCTGAGATTTCGTCAGAGATCAACCCGTTGGCACTGGCTGATGGTACTTCCCAAATAAGTGAAGCGGTCAACGTGCTCTACCACTTCACTTCCTATTTTTAAACTAGGCGTCGATGTAGTCCAGTCCTGTAACATCATCTTGCATTTGGCGGGAGCGAATCGCATGCGAAACATTCGTAGATTGCGGCTCAAGGTGTTTAGAAGACTCTGCATTTCGTCAGCGTCTTCGCCTGGAAGGACTATATCGTCTGCATATTCCAAGTCAACGAGATCATTCCCCGGTAGCAAGTCAATCCCTGAGTCGCTGAAGTCACTTAGGGTTAAGTCCATTAACACATCTATGATGAAGTGCTTCAACACCATCACATATAATGTGAATCATTGTTGTAGATTTTAACTAGGGTCTACATCAGGTTGGATGATCAGCATCATCCTTTGGAGCTGGATTTCATTACTACCAATGACAACTCTATATAGGATCCTACACGGCTTCATGAGTTCGAATAGTGCGCTTTCAACGCCACTTCACTCGTGGCCAAAGGCTGTAATAACACCTCTTGACAGACGGATTCCCTTAGGTCAGAAAAAGTTGTCCAGGCAGTCATCAATATACATGGCCTAGTATCTGTCTAGAACTGGTGTGACCAATGTGTTCTTCCACATAACTGTGGTCTACATAATTCTTCCGAGTTTCTTGGCCCTATACTCTTTTTAGCTTTTATGGGTGTTTTATTTATCAAGCTAATCGCCCTATGGTTATCAGCGAATTTCTTTTGTCAACTGGGATAATTATTGATGTGGATCTCTCTGGCTGAACTACACTGAATCTGAGCACCCTCGCTCAGTTAATCTAGTCAGTTTTCGTACAGTCTGTAAGAAAAAATCCTACAGAAAATCCAGACTGAGAATTAATCGATTTGTTGTAGACATCTTAGGTACTTGTCGCTAAATTGTTTCCTACATTTGCGTTCTTCTTTGATCTTCTGCACATTTCACTATTATTCGTGGATGACACTGAGCTCTCCGGAAAATCAAATAATGGTAGTGATAGGTCAGCCTTACAAACTAACTAAAAGGTCTAACCTCTGGAGTTTGGAAATCAATTCCAGGAAAAGCACAGTAAAGCACTTAGGTCAGAGGTATTACACATCGTACTCCATGGGGTACAAATAACTGCCCAATGTTAAGGAACATAACGACTTAAAAATGATCGTCAGGCATTTGAAAACAACAGCATATTGTAATGCAGCTGCAGCTAAGGCTTTTCGAATACTAAGAGCTTTCAAATGATTAGATGAATTTATGTTCAACGTACTATGCAACATGTCAGGCCTCATCTAGAATACTGTGTATAAGTGGCTAGTTGATGCTTTAAGGAGACACATATCTAGGAAAGAATACACAAGGTAGTATCTCACACCCTCCTTATGATAAGAGAATGGGACATTTAAATCGCTTTCCATTATCATACCGAAGGAGGAGAGATGACTTAGCTTTGGCATGTCGCAAATTTAAGGGTGATTTCGGGAGTGAACTTTCTTACCTTCTCCGTCCCTCTAAGATACATTTACAAGGTCACCATAAAAAGGTGTTCAATGCGCAAAGGAATGGAACAGGCGTGGAGTTAACATTTTGTCATGAAGTGATCAACGCATCAGCTCCATCTGTGAATATTTGTAAAGTGAGATTCGATTTCTCAGAAAGATATAATGCATGGATTAACACAGACCACGAGAGGCTACTGCCTCTATTACCTGAATCTGGATTAATAATACTTTATTGAGAGAAATTACACAAATATCCCGGAGCTAAATCCATGTTTACAACCCAAGCAAGATCTACTGAAAACCACTTTCAAAAATTTGTTATGAGCTTTACACTTCTGTGAAACAAATATTTTTAAATCATGGGTGAAAACAAGTACATTATTATCATTAAACATAATTACAGTTATAACGCGTGTCGTGGTGCTGAATAATCAAGGAGGAAGCGCAGACTGTCGAGGAATACTAGTGATCATAATCTGTAACATACTGTCACTTATAAGTAGGGCATTATTTATTACGGAAAGGGAGGCAGAGCAGTGTAAATGGGAGGGCTAACATTACTTGGCCTCCTTAGAAATCCTCACAAAATTGTAAAACCCATCAAGCAATTAGAAGGTTTGGAATGAGAATGTAGACGGAACTTATTTTTGTTCAAGATTTCACACAAAACGCAACTGTTCACTGCAGTACCACCATGTGGATACGACTTATTTATGCCTATTTCACAAACAAAGGTGTTACTTTTAAAACACAGTTTTCTGGACGCATTAAATGACTACTGTTACTTAGTTCCATGCATAAACTACCTTTTTATGACACATATAGTGTCATTAAACACCAAGACGTCCAGCCCCACCAAAAATACAATGTAGCGTATATTATTGAATGTGAAGGAAGAAAATCCGATATCCAATATCCTGATTACGAGCTAGTATAAACCAGTGATTTCTTTGAGCTCGCTTCTTGATTGTGAGGTAGAGGTTCCAGATCTTCGGTGAACTTCTGTGTAGTAAGTCCCGCCACTCGACTGCTTTAGCTCTGGTAGACTCCAAGAGGAGTGGTGCGGGGATTGGTCGAGATGTGGTTTGTAGTATGCAGTATGTTAGGACTGTATTGCTGCCGTGAATGGATTTTGACCTAACTCCCGTCGGTCATTCGGTGTAGTCATAAAGGCAGAATAGTAATAATAATAATAGGTTGTAGTGTAGATAATATAGGTTGAGATAAGTGAAGAAATAAAGGTGACCTAAGGAAAAGATAGAATAGTCGATACAGTGAGAGAAGGCAGAACAGGTCGTGGGGATTTAGCTTGTACGCTTATCCATTGACAGTGTGGTTTTAATTTTTACGAGGATAAGCCACTGAGACACAAACCTTGCATTTCTGCATGATTGTCTAGCTTCCGCTTAAAAATCTCCAGAGATGGCGCTGTAGTCACGGACGCCGGTAAAGCGTTCCAGAGACGGCAAACTCGAAGCGAAAAAAATGTGATCGCACTCGAGTCTTTGGTCTCTGGTGTGCTATTCTAAGCGGGTTACCTCGTGGAAGCCTATAATCACTTAGTGGCAGGATGCTTTTATTTGAATGGGCCTGGTCATTTAAGATCTGGTAGACGGTGATGAGGTCTCCCCTGTGCCTACGGTAACTAAGTGTGAAAAGACCTAATTTCTTTAGTCGTTCCTCATATGATTTGTTGCGGAGGCCGATCACCCATTTTGTCGCTCGTCTCTGGACACTTTCTAGAATGTTAGCATCCCTTTTGAGTAGCGGAGGTGCAATGATATTATGCACCTCAAGGTGTGGCTTCACATATGTCTTGTATAACCTTAACAACAGTTCGGGAGTGAGAGCTCCCAGCTGCCTATGCATAAAGTGTAAAGTTGCGTGGGCATTGGTGACGTCCCTCACGTAATTTCCACTGGTTTCTAGCCTTTCTGTTAGAATAAGACCTAGATCGCGCTCTGATGGAACACAACTCAAGTTCTGGCCACCAAGGGTGTAATTTACACTCTGTGACCTGCCGGAATGAAGTTGCACTACTTTGCACTTCTTTAGGTTGAAAGGCATTCCGTTAGCCAGAGCCCAGTTTCCCAGAGTTTGCAGGTCAGCCTGCAATCTGTCTGAGTCTTCCGATGAGTTTATTGCTCTCCAAATCTTTACGTCGTCAGCGTGAAGAAGCGCAAAGCAGTTTAGTTGGGAGGGCAGGTCGTTGATAAAAATCAAAAACATCAACGGCCCTAGGATAGAACCCTGAGGAACCCCTGATGCCGAGGTGTGCCAGGATGATCGGATGCGGTTGACTTTGGTGCAGAATTCTCTCTCGCCTAAGTAATCTGTCAGCCATGCGAGAAGTGCTCCAGAAACACCCGCCTTGCCTATTTTGTGAAGGAGCAGACCATGGTGAACTGTGTCGAATGCTTTCGCAAAGTCGAGAAAGATCACGTGGGCTGGTACCTTTTTGTCCCAGGATAGTGTCCAATCGTTCCAAGCTAGTAGAAGATTCGTCACGCAGGATCTTCCCCTCCTGAAACCGTGCTGTGCTTCGTGAAGAAGGTTAGTCCCATCGAAGTATTTTCTCATGTGGTCGTCAATGAGACTTTCCAATATCTTCGATACCACTGGAAGTAGAGCAACTGGTCTGTAACTGGTCACATTCTGCCGGTCACCACCCTTGAAGATAGGGGATAGGATTGCACGTTTCCATTCACATGGAAGTTTCCCTACATCAAGGGAGTGTTGGAACAGATCACTTAGGGGTTGGCAGAGACTTTCTGAACACTGCTTCAGGACAGATGGTCTGATGTCATCACAACCTGAAGACTTTCCCGAAGCCAACTTTCCCAGTTTTACAAGCACCATAGCCGGAGTAATTTGAAATGTACCCAGCAGGTTTTCGCGCGTTGGTTTTGCGATGTAATCTTGATGTTCTGTGAGGGTAATATCCTCGTTACTATTTAGTTGCCTGTGAAAGGCTAGCTGAATGTCCCTGCCATTTCAAGACTAGTAAGAGATTTCCCATCAGAACCCACTAGATTGCATGCTCCCTGGTTGGTCGGTTTTCTTTCAGACATAAACTTGTATAGGCTTTTGGGGTTCACGAGAAGCTTATTGGCGAGGTTTCCCTGAAATGTCCTTCTATCACTCTGGACTCGTATGTTACATCGATTCCTGAGTTCAAGGTACACTTCATGTTCGGGTTGACTCTTCGATCGTCGCCACGCAAACCAGGCTTTTCGCTTCGCCTGCAGAAGGCGTCGTGTCCCCTTTGTTAGCCATGATCGTTGCTTCCTAGCTTTTGGTGTGACTAAAGGAACAGTGTCTGAGACCGCCTGGTGAATGATCTCCTTTACCACTCTCCAGTGTTCTTCTACTGTTAGCTCTGTCCATTTTTTAGGCCAATTTGCTTCAGACAGAAGTCTTCGCATTTTGGTGTAGTTGGCTTTGTTATAACACAGATAGGGCTGTGTATTGTCCCACTGTAATCGCTCGCGGAGGACTATGTCGAATACTATGACCGCGTGGTCACTACTACCTATGGGAGTCGTCATCTAAACGTTTTCCACTAGTAGCTGGTCACTAGTGAGCACACAATCCTGTCTAGAAGACTTCCCATCGGGGCCTCATGTAGTATCCATTTTGACATTTTCAGTGAATCCAGCCTTCCTGATGGTATGCAGCAGATTTCGATCAAATCTATCATGGGCTTTTCCCGACACCAAGTTAAGAGATGGGGCATTGAAGTTGCCATCTGTGACAATTTGATCATAACCCATGTCTTGAGTTGCTGAGATTGTATTTAGCAGTACCTGGTTGTGGTCTGCTCCACATGAAGGTGATCGTTAAATGCTGCCCACTAGATATTTGCAGTACCCAACGGTGAAGTGGCACCATATGGAGTCAGGAAGCTCAGTGAGAAGAGGATCCATTGCGTGAACACATCTGAGCTGTTTGTCGACGTATATGGCTTCGCTGTCTGCCACCGTAGGGGTTAGCCAGGTTTCCGTCAGTATTATGATTTCGGAGTTCAGTTGTGATTGTAGGTGTCTAAGTTCAGCTATTTTGCCTCTTAGCCCTCTCACATTACTGTACAGGCAACTGGTAATCAGTCTCACCACTTCCCCGTATTGTGGGGTAGTTTACTTAATATTGGCTATCGAATGAGGAGTTATCCTACGAACTAGTTGGCCGATTCCCCAGGAACCGGCTTGTTGGCGTTTTTGTCTTCTAGTTCAGTCGGAGCACTCGGATGACGCTGGCTATCATCGTCCGTGGTGCACCTCTGTGGTGTGACTAGGGGTTGAGGATTTTTTTAAACTACGCTTTGTTCTCTCCTTTGGGTGCGAGGCCGGCTCTCGCAGCAGCGAATGTGTTTGCTGACCTTGTCCTTGGTCTCGTACCATCTATGGAGAGCGGTAGTCGACTGGTCTTGGGAGCTGAACTTGACAGCTAACAGACGAGGCGTGTGAATTGACATAAGATGAGTGGTCGAGGCAGTCTATAAATGGAGACAGCCCCTGAACTCCCCAGGGCCGTCTGGGATGCCAACCATCTCCATTGCTGTACATCATGACAACGCTTTTCGCAGGCGTTCCCAGTTATCGGTTCGGGAATGCCATGCACAACCATGGAGGCAGAAGGAATGATCTCTGGCGACTCCATCGCCATTTGTCTTTCCTTCCACGGTCTGTCTGACTTAACGCGTATGTTATAGGCCCTTCCTATAGAAAGGACTTGAGAAGCCAGTAACACTTTTCAGCACACTCGGTAGAGCCCAAAGTTACCCTCTGTGGGGATGGTTTGCCATCAGGTGCAGCAGTTCCCCTATACAATCTGTATAGATTTACTGGTTGGATGTCCAAACCCAGTGTGCTACACAAGATGGACCACTGTTCCTGATCAAATATGGCCCTATCTTTCAGCAGACTACTACTACAGTCTGGTACATTAAAGAGGATTACACAGTTTGATCTACTAACCGTGGGCTTGGGCTCGGTCCTCGCACATTTGTAATCACATTTAAGGCATTTTTTGTTACGTCTGGTGCGACTGGGTATTTTTATGTGTCTCAGTGCTATGGCCAGTATTACTGGCATAAGACATGGGTCTTTTTCCAACGACGGAAACCCGTGGTGCTCCAGCCTCTGTGTGTGGAGTGGCTATGTCAAGAGTTACAAGTTTAACCGGTGAGGATTTTGGAAACCCGGTTTACTTGCGTTTGTACTAATTTCCGAATTGGTGGGGGTCGAACATTTCACATTTTTCCCTGCTAATTTTGCTCCAACATTAGTGTTCAGAGGACTACTTGAGGCTACATCAGGACGGCAACTCGGGAATAGGTACCTGTCTTTTCCTATCAGCTTAGGTTAAGCACTAGCATCTCATCATAGGTGGGCTACACGCTGATCAATCACACTGACGGTCTCACAAGTATGCATGCCTTCTGCAACTGCACCTGCATTTATTTCTACTTCACGTTCAAGTTGTACAGAACCCTTGTTCAACTTAGCAGTAGTAGGCATATCCCTCATCTCATCATGATCAACAAAAGACAACTGTGAAGTATCATGATCATTAGCACAAATATTCACTTTACCGTCAAGTTCATCATTTTCAAACTCTTTAATAACAGAAGTAGACAATTTTGTTCCTCCTCACAAATCATTAAAGGTTTTATATCTTCACTCTGACTAGTTATACTTTGTAAACTTGTGGAGTCAAAACTGCACTCTGAAGCAGTAACTCTATTCTGTGACACTCTATTCAACAATGGCTTACCAGTTGCAACTACAGACTTCTTCACAACACCGTTATCGTCACACAATTCGGAGTCAGGCCTGGAGTTTACATTTAGCTTATCACTGAACTTGCTCACTGATTCACAGTTCACCTTTGTATGCACCTCTTGCAAACGTGTACAACAAAACCGTGTTTCTCTTGCAGCTTGTAACTTATCTGTTGAGGATGTACTACGAAACCTGTTACACTCACTAGGTCTATATGCATTACTATACATCATGGAGTCTTCTCGATATCCACCTCTCTGAGGCCTACTCGTCATCAATGGTTGCATTTTGCTCTCAGACTGCTCTATTCTAGGGGTGAGATGTAATAGACTGGCGAACTTGCTCATAGATTGATTGACACTAGTATTTACCAGTTTCAGGATATCATCAAACTTTGGCTCGATACCCTCATCCTCCATACGGGAGCTTATCTTCACCCACTTCCTTTGCAGTCGAGTAGGTAGGCGTCTTGCTATTACTTCTAGTATAAAACTCGAGTTGAGGTCACTCATGCGATTCATCGAAATCATTCCATTCTTGTAAATTAGCAAATTATCTAAAAACTCAGTGAGTGCCTGGGAGTCATCCTGTAATCGACCACCATTACCCTTAACAGCCTCGAATAATTTCCCTGCAATCATCGAAGGTCTTCCAAACCTTTGACATAATATGCTCATAGCCTCATCGTAGCCCTCTTTTGGCTTCATAAACTTACAGCACTGTATAGCTCTTGCAGCATCTCCAGTGCAATACCTCATCAAATAAATTAACTTCATTTCATCATTTAATAAAAAACCACTCAACATGATCTCAAACTCCTTTACAAATTGTAAATAATCGGCTGGGTTTCCATCAAAACACCGCGGTTCAAATTCAGGGAGTTTGATGTTCCTATTATCCCTGAACGGCGAAACAGTAACATCAACCATGTCATGCTTAACATCAGACACATCGTTACAATTAACAGACAAGTCACAATGACTTACTTTCCTGTTTGCATCCAAGACACTCTG